AGCGTTTAAATTTTCCGGGATATTACGCTTATCTATATTATCTTTTACATAGGTTAACTGACTACGATGATTCAAAGTAACATCTGTAACAAGGGCAATTTTCTCTTCCAAAAAAATATGATTAGTCAGAAAATGACATGTTAGCAGTTAACACTAACAAGTGATATTCGCTTAATTCAAGAATTCTTTCTGTTTACGTAATTGACAAAATATTGTATTGTAGCACAAATGCATCTTCTTTTAGAGATTTGTGAGATGGAAATAATGGTATCTTAAGTTCAAATATTGATATTCTGTCGTCATAAATCAAGTGCTAAAAGTAACGTCTGTGGCAGAGGAAATAGGGAGGAATAATGAGATTATTTGTAGGACATGTCTTTTCCTCTATTAACGGATGAGACCGATTCAATACCAAACTTCCCTATATGTTTTTTTAATTACAAGTACCCCCCACCCCGATTGCAATGTGCGATACAAACAATTAATATAAATCTTAACAGAGGGATGTGAGATATTTGAGACCAATGGGCCTTCAGAACAAGGATATAAGTACTGATAAAAGAACTGGAAATATATTTTGATGACGAACATTCTATAGGATTGCGGTACACATGAACGGACTGGCAATTTAAAACATACGTTGTGCCTGGCTAGCCACCGCTGGCCTCAAGGGTACTTGAATTTGGTATGATGAATAATTGAAATCTGTGATTTCAGAAATTTGTCCGAGGTATTACACGCATCTGTGTCATTTTACATTGCTTGCATACTACTTTTGCGCGTGCGTGCGTGCGCCGTAGTGTATAGTTTGTATGGTTGTTTGGTTTAGCAAGATTCAAACGAGTATTTATTCGATCAAAATCCACACAAAATCTGAAAATTATGTAAAGATTTTTTGGGCACAAAGAAAGCCCTTTTTCATTCATTAAAAACAAAATCATGAATCAAATGTATCAAATATATAACACTTGGGTCCCGTGCCTTGATCCGCCCTCGAAACTAAATATCAATATGCTGTAATGTATCAAAATGATTATGATAATAATACTATGATTTGTCGATACTGTTCTTCTAAAAGCCGGGTATCCAATTTACTTCACCTGGGTGAAAAGTGGCAAATGTAGATTAAATCGAACGCCGTAACTTATGTTTCATAGTCAGAGAACGTATTCAATGCACCATAACAACCCCAGGAACAGCAGTATACATTTAGATACTAATGAGGTGTTACAGGGAAAAAATGATACCCGGTATTGTTGTTATTGTTTATATGTCCTTTTTGCAATATTTAGTGATAATAGTTTAGTTATTTGATATTTTAACTTATGTAACTTATATATTTATTCATTATTGCTTTTTTCTGACGGTTGTCAGTCTTTGGACTGTTTGCTCTTGGTTTTTGATGTTTTGATTTCAATAAAAATCCTATTTATATATAATATTATTACTATTATCCTCATTATTACTATTTTCATAACTATTTTTTTTATTACTATCAGTATTATTACTATTATTATCATCATTGTTATTATCATCATGTCTTCTATTTAATACTTCCCGCTGCTTTTGTAACAGAATGCCTCAAACTCTGGTACACACCAGACACCCCTATCGGTAAATTTGACGTATGACAAGACTAAGGATCAATCTGGAGTACATATCGTTTCGAACGCAGCACTTTATAACTGTCTTTTCCTGTTCCGTGTCTGTCATCTTTGATGCTAAAGCACACCGATGGAGACGTGTATGACGTACGATTTCAATTCCACAACATGTAAAATGAGTGTTTTTCCAAGATTAGGATTAACATCCATTAACCTGAATTCCAATATTTCGCCATACTTACTGAAAACCACCGACTATACCCATGGCTCGGAATCATAACAACTTGATCTCTTGATATTTCTTCACGCGTTGCCAAGGTAATATCGCAGCTATGCATAAATTCACGACGCAATTCCCGTGATATATTCCTTTGAACGTGTCCGATGCATACGGCTTACTTCGAATCATCAGGTCTTCGCGTCATGTCGGGTGGTCGCGTTACACAACCTTTCATGAAAGGGCCAGAAACGAAAGATCATGTGAAAATGCACGATTTTGAGTACGCGACCTTTCGTATATTTGCCGTAAGGTTTTCACAAAGTGTCGGGTAAATTGGACCAGAGGGCCATTTGTAAATGAAGGGGGTTTATTTCACAACACTACCCCCGACAATACGTAAAGAAAGGGAATTTGTCACTAAAGGTCGGATAACGCGACCACCCGACCCGACCCGATGACCCGATGATTCGAAGTAAGCCGATGCATACAAGCCAGTCAACCATTCTAAGCATTGTTATATTTTGATTGGCGATTTCGAATCTCAGCAAAATCAGTGCATTACAAGAGTTTGATATCCCATGAACTTCGAATCACTCTTCCTCATTGCACGAGGTCTAACTTGATCGCATAATATATTTTCTTTTCAGGCAGATACATGCCAGGTTTATTTTTCTTTGGATCCCTCGGTAGAACTGGGACCCGTTTCACAAAACTTGTCATCAGTGACAAATGACAATCTTTGTTATAAGCTACTGCAATCCTTGCTTCTGATTGGTTATCAGCAGATTTGTGACTGGTTTTTGTCATTTGTCATTGAAAAAAGGCTTTGTGAAACGGGTCCCAGATGTGCTGTAATTTGGTGTCCCTTCCAAAATAATTTTGTCACATTATCATATTATGTTCTTATCTAATTATTGTTTGTGCTCGTTAAATAAAGTCAATTAATCAATCAACCTCACCCCTTCGTTCTTTCCTGACATCATAATCAAACAATACAAGGGAATCAAAAATGTATCAAACTTCAAATTGTTACTGTATCCATTTGAATCCATTTGAGGAGGCAATCATTATTACGCTTATACCATGCAAATGGTATTTCCCTCGTCGTTCGCGTTAAATTGTATGAAAACAGTTTACTAAAGAGAATGACATCACTTATCGCATTTCGCAAGTATTGACATTTGTAACAAGTTAAAATTGAATATTGATTGATTATTTGTATCATTTATTATTTCTGCAAAATGTAATTTATAAGCTAAAGCATTTTGTTTTCAATTACCATGTAAACAACATAACATAATCAATGTAATATATAGAAGGATCCCAGTTTATCAACAATTCAATAGAACAGACTTAGGTCAGACTTCTTTGGCCTCAGGGTTGCGTAGAACCACATTCCCGAAAGTGGTATTTATCTGTTTAGATGGTTCAGTGGTCTTGTGTTGATTTTTTCTGATGGCTCTTAAACCTCAAAATACACAATATCAGGGAGGTCCCTGGTATTATAAACCTTTATCACGAAACGAAGTATTAAACGTCACCTTTGCAAATAATTAGAGAACACACACACACAGTCACACACACGCGCTCACACGAACACACGTACCATATTGCCATGGATAGTTGTTTATTGCAGCGATTAGTATGAGTGGTGTGATATTTAGTGAATTAAGTTCTCAGTATCGCCGTCATACGATATTGTTTCTAATGTATCAGCCTGATTTTTTCAGCCATATATGAGTCTGATTCCCAACTTTTGAATATCAAAAACTAATTTTTCGCAGAACACGATTTTAAATCTAACTTTTAATATGATAATCAATATCATCTTATTCATATTGCACATCCATTTTGTTACCTCCATGCCACGGTTTTTTGCAATTTATTGCAAATTGACTTCCTTCATCACGAGTTTCTGATTTGTCTTGCAGTTTTCACCTTATCTAGCTTCTATCCTTTATATTCCCCATCTACCTTTTTTGTTTTGTATTGCCTGAATCTCGTCATCATATGGCCGAGACCCTATTTCTAACTGATGTTTTCAAACTCTTTCTCGCTCATAATTTCTACCCCTTCACTACTACCAATTCATCAGCCATTATTATCTTCTATCCGAGCAAGTCATAGCATCGATCGCTTTCCTATAATTGGTTTTGAACACAAATATGGGGACTTCCCTTCAAAGGTCTTGTAAGATTTTTTACCACCACTGAAAGGTTACGCGAACTATTTTTAATTATGTTTTTTCTTCTCCACTTTTCCCGTTTACCTGGGCGTTCAAGGATAATATACATACTTTTATTTATCACAGATACTACAGAGGTTGGTGTAATATTAGTTTGCATATAATGGTAATGAGAAAAATACACCAACAACAACTAATACCTCATGCTAATAAATAACGATTAGATAATTGTATATAGCGCAGCTACTATATAAATAGACCGTACTGCACTGTGATGAAAACAAACTTTTGACCAATTAACAGTGCTCCTTCCAGACACAAAATCTGAAACTATTCAAAAGCTTCTGAAAACAAGTGCCTTTAAAACAAAACTTTAAAGACAGCAATGGAAGAGGCTTTTTTTTAATGTCTTGTAGTAGGTCATTCCAAAGCGTTGGAGCGACGCAACTGAAACGCAATCTCTAATTGTTTGAATGTGTGTGGGAGCAGGGAGGTGCAGGTGAGACTCACCTCCCTCATGGGAGGTATAGATCTAGTCTAATAAAAACGGTTTGTCATGTGTACTTCGTGAGTTACACGAATATGGATGTGATTTACAAGATAATAGTTCAGACATGATATTGGGGCTTGACCATTCAAAGCTTGTTAAACGAGCAAAAGTATCTTAAATGCAATTATATGGCTAAATATGGGGACATTTTAAGGAATTGGATACGAGCCTTGCACAGGCATTTAACGCGCTGCCTCATTATTTGTGAACCTGGCATGAATGATGCCAAACAATAATCCATTATAACAATCAAGCCTTATGCTAATAAATGCTTGGATAATGCTTTCAGGGTTTTCCTGGTCTAAGTATCTACGAATTCAATGTGACGGAGATTGTAAAACACATAAAAGGCAGATGTGCTTCTCTATGATTAAGCAAACGAACTAACCAATGCAGGTGAAACAATGATTCATTGGGGAATTTGTAACTTGGTGTACTTACTCTGTGGCTCCTTGGGACGTGACGTACTTGCCCTGGTAGAGACCAAGAAGATTCGCATTGAATTTGGCCACATACTGCATACTAAGTGAGTATCTCTCTCCCTGCTCCAAGGGGGAGAGGGTCCGTAGAACCAGATAGTCATTCTCCTCATAGAATGTCGGCGGTCCATTCAGAGGGACTACTTCATTACCACCTTCTGTTACAAACCGGAATGATTCGACCGAGTAATTCAACTCTTTCGTGTGTAGGAGGATAATATCTGTGCTCCCGAGGCATCCAAAATGAATGGTGATGTTCCCAGCAAAGATGCCCGTGTGAATGTCAGTTCTAATGCTGAGTACGTAATGGGACGGCTTCAGGTCGGTGGGTAAACGGAAGTTTTCCCACACCAATGGCGAGGCTGATGGCTCGAAAACCAGACCTACTCTTGGTGTAACTACGGTATCCGGAGCACTCGTGTTTGAGGGCTTGTTGAAAAAGTGATCGCATGTACTCCGTACAAGGAGCGCGACTAATACGAAAGTGATGATAAGGAGGATGAGGACGGCAAAACAAAGGATGCTCTTCATGCAGTTTGGTGGACAACGACGGGAGTGATGTCGATAACCTCCTCCCGACACGCGGACTTCGTCCTCCCCCGCGCCCTTACGTGACCGTGAGACGAAGTTAACGATGTGTTCTCGTTTCCCTGGCATCCTTACCGCTGTGATTTCCACCCCTTCCGATTCACATCTCGCTACCAGCGGCTTCTGCGAGTCTGTCTTGTGATGAAGGAGCTGCAGGCTCTTTTTCTTATCGTTAGTTTGTCGACAACACCCGTTCTCCCTCCCGCTCTCCAACGGTCTGTCGCTCACAGGTGACCGTGACATCTTACACGAACCACAATCAACGACCAAAAATTGAGAAATTCCTCAATTCCCTCGCACTAACTCGATACCCAAACCCTCCTGGGCAAAGCAAGAATCAGGTCGCGTTTCTCTCAGTAACACAATCCTTTAATCCGGCGATATTAATACTCAATCTTTGTGTCTGAAATTGTCGAAATCCTCAGAATCTGACACCAAATTGAATTAATGTTTGGTTTGGCTTCGGCATCCTGTATAGATTGCTGTTCATGGGGTACATCCATCAACGACTTCTAGGCTCATTAAATGTACATTTTTCCCACCAATAAAAGATATTTCACATTAACAAATGCATTTCGTTTTTGGGCTCTCTCAGAGCTACGAATTTCGGAAGGGACCTAATTCCGGAGTGCTCCTCTTTCTCTCCCGATGTTGCTCCAGTCCATTGACATCTCACTCATTAGGTTGATCGCGATAGGTGATTAGATAAGCGATAAAATATCGCCGTTTGACAACTTCTCGAAGCAAAAAGCAGGCTCCCGTTGACCATCATTACAAGTGATCGGCAAAACGCGTATTTGAAACGAAGAAGTTTTCACAAATGCTCCAGGCAACTATAATGGTGTGTGATGCAGAGCGAAAGAAAGATGAAGACTGAAGGACTGGTGTAGGTCACTAAATGCTAGGATGCGTGAACTTTCTATCTCTCTATCTAGTAGAATGGGGGAGCATGACGAGACAACTCGAGCTCATTTTTCGAGACTGCACACGCGCGTGAAAAAAAGTGACAGTGACTTTGTTTTGGCGGGAGAAGGAAAACGTGCGCCGCGAACGAGTCGTCTGCCGGTTAATATACTCATCGGATGTGTGTTAGCACACTCATTTAAGCTCTCGTTCATTCCGTATCGGTGCTCGTAGTACGGTTGTAACTTCCACCTCTCGTATACATTTCTCTCTCTCCGACTCTCTCTCTCTCTCTCTCTTACTCTTACTCGTTATCCCAATGTATCGTTCTTTCTCTTTTTCTCTGTATCCACCTCTCCCTCTCTCTTTCTATATTCCAACGTCTACCTCTATACCCTCTGATTCATTTTCCCGTCTTTCTCTTTCTCTGTCTCTGTGTTTCTATCCCTCATACTAGCTCCTATTCCCCATCGTCCACACTTTCTTCGCTTTCCCTCTCTTGGATTCTAGTTTGAAAGAAAAATATGCGGGAATTTAAATACTACTAGTTACGATAACTATCCTCCGCTAAGAAAATGGCATTTGGCCCTGGCTAAACGAACATTTTTTTTTTGCACAAGTGCGTTTTGAGTATTTGATTTCAAGTGGATTTGGCGCCTTAACAATCTCACACATTATTATTATTTTATAATTTTTTATCATCATTAGTATTATTTGTATTACTATTAATATTATTATTATTATCATCATTATCATATTCATCATCATCATCATCCGTATAAAAAGAAAAGAAAACCCAGTCGCTAAAATATCCAGATCTGTTTGTCGATAGAGGCAATGCAATGAAACTTATCGATATGTTTATGTTCTTTTTCAGATTGTATGTGTCTTTAAAAGACATCCAATAGGAACTATAAACTGCGGAAAAGCATTTCGCATTCAGGAAATTACATAATGACCCGCGATGTAAATTATCATTTCACTTCTCATTCGTTTAATATTCCACTCAAAGAGGTATTAAAAGCGCCGTAGAATTATTAGTATCTTGCTGTTTATCAACCGAATCAACTAATTCTATCGAGAAGCTTTCGGGCCCTTACCAAAATATGAAATGGCTTTAACATTTCAACCTTTTCATCATCATTATTATGGTGTTATTGAAGCAACCTTGCTGTTATTTGCATTTATTTGAACCGCGGGCAGAATCATTTGTGGATCCCCTGAACAAACATCATGCATGATTGTAACTTTTTATCCTGACGCAATTATGCAACTACTGGACATTGTATTCAATTTGAACACTGCTACTGTCTATGTTTCTGTACAATTAGTGACGTGCAGAGGCCTGTGAGTGATTCCAACGAAATATTCAACAATGGAAATAGAATTGCAATACAAACATTATTACCGTACACTGAAGCAATTATTCCCACACTATCGATATCGGGTATTTTAATTCCTATCAACCAACACATTCTGCCAACCATGCTAGCCCTTATCACATTATGTAAAATGAGGGGATCGTCATATTATATGATATATTCAACACGTCATGAATCTTAGATTCATTAAAGAGAAGGTTTAATTCTGGGGAGAGGTGATAAATAATTTGCTAGCATTTTCATTCTTATTATGCAAGTGTGGAAGAAAATCAGAGGGACAATGTTCCCTGGAGAGCATGGCTCTTTAAATGCCTTCATATTATAAATATTACATGTAACAGCTTTAAAATGTGGGCTTCATGTTTATGCCAAATGTTTGTGTAGTCTCTTATCCATCTTTCTGTGAACAGTGCTTGTTACTTTTACCAAAACTGGGCCAAATTTTTAATCATTTTGATGATTCCAGAACCTTGCAATACACACCAATACTATATGCTACATGATCAACTTTTTCTGATCAGTTCCACACCGTTTCTTTCACGATGTAATCGCAAGACCAGAACTCAACGTTATCTTTAAGTCTCTAAACAAATACAAATTATTGTCCCGCAGGGTTTCACATTAGGACCACTGTTCTTTGATATCTACAGGTTTATTATATAATGTATTAAACAAGACGTGTCATGCATTCATACTCGCGGAGAGGGTTCCTTCTTTCTTGATGCACATATACAGTCATTTGAATGATAATGAATCATTTGACTACATGCCGTGTATGCAAATTAGTAATTTCTGACTGAAAAAAGATGTCGTAATTGTTACAATATACTATGTCATAAATTGTATCCCTTATTTCTTGCGATTGTTTTAGATACAGACAGAGCGTTTATGATCATTAGCAAATATTTTTTTCAACAAAATTTCAGATACAATACCATTTATGTTGCTTTTCCCCCTTCCATTTGCGTGCTGGAAAGCATTTCATATTTTCAGAATTCTGGAATTCTCTTCATTCACGCACGACAAAGTATTTTGCACGGCATTTATTAAGTAGCTTTGACGGGCGCTGTCTGTTCTGATTTAACGTATTACGCACGAGTGAGCAATCGGGAAATAGCAGAGACACATGGAAGGGGGGGGGGGGAGGAGGGATAAAAGTAAGAGCGAGAGAGAAAGAGATATAAACAAACCGTTTAGTCCATTTAACTTTGTCAATATTATGCCAGTCATTTATGATTGTGTAGACTCGAAAACCTGAAACCGTGCATACTTTAAAGTCACTGTACACAGGCATGGGTATATTTTCCCTTCTTCCCCCCTCCTATGCTACCTTAACCTCCAAATAATGTTTACACAATCACAATGTCATGGTATAATATACATATAATATATATAGTATGATATATATCTAAATATTTATGTGTACATATTGACTATGTCTATTTTCTTCCAAGACCGTCATTTTTAAGGAACCTGTGAACTATGCTCACCCATATTGTTCTCTCCAAGTGAGATCATCATATTTTTAAATGATCACGCTAAATTAGAGTCAGACTTACACGCTGATAAAGTGATAGTGAGTGAGAGAGAGAGAGAGAGAGAGAAAGACAGAGACATAGAGAGTGAGAGAGAGAGAGAGAGAGATGAGAGAGAGAGAGAGAGAGAGAGAGAGAGAAATCGAAGTAGACAATTAAATTCAGTTTTTCTAATCTGTGCACAAGACAAAACCTTCCTCAAATGTAATCAATATTAGATGATAATTGTCGTGTGCATTCGTATGAACAATTGGGTAAAGAATCCTTCTCAATCTGAAACGTTAATTTCAAGTATGTTTTCAAGATATTATTGTCTTTCGAGATAAAAGGCCACTTCGACGCCAGTACGCGGACAACATTTAATCTGCTCGTATCGGATGAAGCGATTTTCAAAGAGATCTGCAGTGTTAAAATGCGTAAGATATCGTACAATTATACTTAACCATAGTTTTAAAGATTAAAATCTTACGTTAAAAGACAGAACGCGTTCTAAAAAAAATGCCTTGATTGAAAGCTTTTTGACATTCGCGCGTTATAGAATCAATCAATTTTAGTTTTTGTTAGTTATTGTTTATCAAATACAGGATTACCAATTTAAAGGCTGAACATTTTCATGAAATTTATATCTGCTTACAGGAAAGTATTTAGCTTCCGGTATATCAATGTCTGAAGGGAGCTCTGTATATTTTTGTTACAATACCACTCACGTATACAAGACAAATTAGCGTGTTTAAATTATATGGATAAAGACTTCAGCAAGGGTAATTACCATATACCTTTTCGTATTGCTTATAAAATCATGTCCTCTCATGTAACAAGGCAAAGCAATAATCGCACCTTCCAGACCGTGGCATACAAATGCTATTGAATTTACCTCTGGATGAATTTTATTAATTAGTTTCTGTTTGCGATCGGTTTGATGCATGCTATTTAAATTAACAGAGCATGTAAATACCACCATTGAATTGCTATTTTAAACTAAATAACAACGAATCAACAAGGAGATATTCAGAGCAGCACGGAATTTTCGTGGGTACGGGAATGCTCAAAGATGTAACGATAATTGCCATGACGTACTGCATCGCGATATGGGATAGACCCTGTCCAAAACATTTTCAGCCCGCCTACTTTCTCAACTTAGGTTTCTCTCGTCATTAAATTGTCGGGTTTACATTACGAATTAACCTTTTCCATTAGACTCCTACGCCTTACTGCAGAAAAGAAATTGATTCCCTTCTTCTTCTTTTAGCCGAAGTTATTGAATTCATGTTCTTAAATGAATGTTTTTTTCTGCGAGGTATATGAGGTAATTGAATGCGTTCATACGTCACTGTATAATCAGGATAGTCAATAATCATCTGAAATTGGCAGCTCCAATCTCTCGGAAGAGCGTCCGTGGAAATCGTGTAACATATACAAACTAACAATTAAATAAACGTAGATACTGAAATGATTGGCCAAACCTGTAATGTAGTTGTTACGTTTCAATGATCTATAGGAATTCTTCTGCATGTGTATATATAATACAAAAGGTGTGGTGTAATCGTATCTGTTTCTTGTTTGCCGTGGAAATTGTCCTTTGTATGCTGGCAATTAGCATAATTAATTTTTTTTTCTTCTCATTTTTATCCTTTTTAATAGTCCGTGCTCGTGTCTCAACTACCAATTGTGCTGAATAAGTACTGCTTGCCAAAAACAACGGGGTAAAAGTTTGCAAAACATTGCATCCATTTGCCCATTTCTCTTTATCTCTCGTTTATAATACCTCCTCATCGCGTTTCCGGATCAGCTAATACATGGACAGCCGGACTTTTTTCCGTCTCCTTTTCTCACCTGTTTTTGTCATCACCCCTCTCACTCATTGAGTTTTACAGTC